AGAGAGAGAGAGAGAGAGAGAGAGAGAGAGAGAGAGAGAGAGAGAGAGAGAGAGAGAGAGAGACAGTTAGAAAGAAAGAGGAAGAGAGGGAAAGAGAGAGAAAGAGATCAATAAATAGAATGAGTTTTTGAATAAATCTCAAGGAAGCCCTTCTGCATGTCTGGAAGCTGCATGAACCCCTACTGTGCATGTGTCCATGCGCGCGTGCGTGCGTGCGTGAAGCCATCTATCTCCCTGCACATGGTATTCGCTGACGACGGCGCGTGCCGGTACCTTGTTCTCCGTCGCCACGGCCCTGTAGTTGTGCAGCTTTCCGTCGGTGTCGTTGACGACGCGCTGCACCTCCCCCTCGTGAGCCTCGCGGAGGCTCTGGATGTACACGTCCTGCTCGTCGTTCTTAGTATTCAGCGCGTAGACGACCTACGCAAAACAATAGAACGGTACATCGCACGCGGCTGTTATGACAGAAGATTTTTACCGATGCAGAACAATATAGAATGGTACACCGTAGGCAGCAAATATGACAGAAGAAATTACCTATGCAGAACAATAGAACGGTACATCGCACATGGCTGTTTGTGACAGAAGAAATTACCTATGCATAACAATAGAACGGTACATCGCACATGGTTGTTTGTGACAGAAGAAATCCCCTATGCATAACAAGAGAACTGTACATGTGTGTAGCTGAATTTACACAAAATGATAAAGTGGTACATATGCGTGGACGCTCTATGCAAAACAAGAGAACGGTACATGTTTGTGGATGACGGTGACCGACCTACGCAAAACAAGAGAACGGTAAACCAGGTCGCACCTCTTATTACAGAAGGGACCTGATTATGACAAATTGACATAACATCTGGAGTGATTGATATGCAGCTCTAACCAAACAGTGATGTACTATCGGTGTTAAAAAATTCTGCTTGGCAACAAAGCACTACGAAGTCGACGTACACGCAAGAATCGTATATATTAATTAACTGGGTGAACTTGGCCGTTGGTTATAACATCCAAGGGTGCGTGGTGATCTTGTTTCATAGAGAGACAGCTAGGTCGATTCCTTCGCGGGAGGATGAAGAACAGATGCTGAATCCAGTCCTTTACACGAAGCTCCATTGGAAGCTGTTCACATTTTTAATGTCTCACTACGAGTGCAAGAGTTGTGACTCTACAAGAGAAGCTGCCTCTGCCTCTGCTCTAATTGACAGTGATGGGGGAGAGGTAAAACTACTCCATTACGAACTAATGTAGGGAGGCGGCTGCGGGGTAAGAAGAACTGCTGCTAACCCGGCGTCTCCACCCGGCCTTTACACTTGGCCTTCTCCATACGTGGGCGCACTTTGCGTAATTTCCCGGGGGTCTCGATTCGCGCGCGATGCGGCGACCCAATTATTGCCTAGATAACTTTAGGGGCTCCTGGAGAGCAGAACAGGTCGCAATGAACAAAGAGACTCGGCTCTCATCCTTAGGCCACAGCGTCCAGGGCTTTTCCGCCCGCTGCCTGATCCTATTCCTTCTTAGCTTTCCCCTGCCATCTTTTCCTCTCCTACCTTCAAGCTGTCCACCTTCACCCCTGCACGAAGTACTTCGCCGATCACGTCTTACGGCTACGAGGTTCTGATACTTCACGCGTTACGATTCTGTGCGTATGTAGATATGCTGTGTAGTTTCGCTAGAGTGTGTATTGTGTCTGATTGAGCGGGAAAATTAGACGCTACCGAAGAGTGAGCATTGCACTGACTATACTGTGTTCGAGTTATCTATCTGTGTTATCTATCAGTTGTGGGTTCTATGCTCGACGCAACCTGTTACTACCCTAGTAACAAACGGGTGCCATAGCGCACTCACTAACCGAGCAGCCTGCGGTAGCGGTGAGTTAAAGCACACGCCTACAGTTGGTGCCGGACCAGATTCGAAGCCTGGAGTTATGGCGGCCACAACGCAAAGGGGTAGCTACATACCACTATACGATCACGTAGGCGGGGGTTTTATACAATAACTCAAGTGCTGTCCGAAACCACGTGTCCTCATTCAACGACGAGTGCGACAATGCGTCGACCATAAGCAGCGAGACAACCTATCGGGCAGCACACCCTCTTTGCTCGCTGGACCAAACGCCCAGCTCGCCCGAGAAGGCACTCTGCGCAGCCCGCGCCGCCCCCACGAGGCACACCAGCCACGGCGGCAAGCGTACCCCGCGTCGCGCATCCAGAATGCAGGCACGTTGCATCACACACTCGACGAGTCGCAAGTCAGCATTCTGATAGCCGACGACCCCCACAGCGCCATCGGCGGCTCAGACAGTGAGTTTAGCGGCATCGATCTCATTCCTGTTGGCAGCGTTTCGCGAAACGATACTGCCGCACCCACCGCGACGATTTCCTTGGGGCCAAGGATCAGCATGTTGGTGCCAGCAGGAAACAACCACCTACGAGCGTGCAATACTACAGGTTCAGCGAGCCCCATGTAGTCACTGAACACGGCCACGGGGACATCAGACCGCGTTCACGTCGCCTCAGACACTGCCCGACGACCGAGAGCACTCGAATGTTATGCTTCATGAGAGCGCACCACGTTACCAGCGCCTCTGTGCACGCCCAAATCGTGCAACTCGTGCATGTAGCAACCCTATCAAGTCGCCAAGGTATATCGCCGCATTCTGCACAATGACGACCCGCGGCCGTGGTACCACAATCGAACCGCCCCGCGCGCCGGGACCCCAGCCACTATACCCGGCCACCTCGCATGGCAGATATATTGCGCATCGCAGCCGTCCCTCGCCGCAGAGCCGCAGGACGCGGGCGCCATTCAGCCGTGTCTCGCCGCCTTTCGACGCTCGCCCTTAACAGCGCATGCGTACACACTATGGCACACCACCTATGGCTCCACGCAGGCTCACACGTTGGTAATGGGCCCGCACGGCTAACCCAGCCATAGATGCCCACTATACGCCGCATCAACTCGGCGTCCCTAATATTGTCAGTACGAGCATAACGGTAGTCAGAGAACCGCGTCGCACATTCGTAGTCCGAGACTTAAGTTCGGCTTCTGTTACATCCGTGTTCCGCCTTGCGCATAATAGAGATATTATAACCTACATGTTTACCGCCTTTAGCAAGCGTACTTTACGAGGAACGATGCCAGCGCCGAACACAGCGCCGCGTGCAAGGCTGCGGCATTCTTCAGCGCGCCGCGCCCGCCCGCTCGACGACTGCTGCCGTCAATCGCAGGACCCTCGATGCCTCGCGTCTAGCGGCCCCCGCCACTGAGCCCGATGCCTGGCCGCCGGCTGCCGGCTATGACCCTATCCCTTATGGCCTGGCCGCACGACCCCGTACCGGCCGCTTCAGGCTGGCATCCCGCCTACGACGCCGCAACGCCCTGGAGCTCATGAGGGCACAGTAGCTCCTGAGCGCACGCGGCCGACGTCACCCTACACGACTACGATTCAGCAATAGAGGAGGATAGTCGGGACTGGCCCACACGACGTTTCCAGTCCCGCCCAGACCGTGGAATGACGATTCGATGTATATTGATGTATTGATTAATGGTATGGACCAGTAACTGTATTGGCGTGTTGATGTATTGGAACTGTACGTATCACCGTATAACCGGAGACAATGTGTTCATCTATTAACGGATTGCCGTATTAGCTGTGTTTCCCTATTCAGGGCTTAAATATCGCCCTAATCTGTGTGCGTTCGAGCGTACTCGTCTCGTACGTCTCGTGTAATTGCCGCGCCGGTCCTTATAATGACGGTCTGGCGATCCCGCCAGCACATGTTATCTATGGGCTGGCATTCTAGACACAAAAAAAAAAGAGAGAGATAGTATTGAAAAAGTATTGTACCGTACCCCATCACTCCTACACCCTCCTGTACTAACCCCTACTGCGACCCTGCTTTGGCCTTACTCGACACGCGGTGCACATCACTGCGTTCCGTACGTGATGGCCGCAACGTTACTCGCCACACGTTTTTGCGGCGTCGCGCCTCAACGTTTCGGAACCCCGGGGCAAGTGTAAGGGAGGCGGCTGGCTGTAAGAAAAGCTGTCTCTACACCCGGCGTCTCGCACCTCCGCGGCTCCTCTACACTTGCTCTCCAGACGTGGGCGCACTTGGGCCTAATTTCCGGGGGTCTCATTTGCGCGCGATGCGCGTACCAATTTATTAGCCTAGATAACGTTATGGGCCCTGTTGACAGCAAAGTCGCAAGACAAAGGACTCGGCTCTCATCCGTCTAGGCACACGCCGGTTCCAGTTTTTCCCCCGCTCCTGTCCTATTGCCTTACTATACTTTTCCTTGCCATCTTCCCTCCTACCTTCAACTGTCCACCTTCATCCCTGCCGAGCTATTCGCGAGCCACGTCTTACGCGTACGAGCGTCACTGATATTCGGTTACGATTCTGTGGTATGTAGATCATCTGTGTAGTTTCGTAGAGGTGGTATTGTGTCGTGATCGAGCGCGAAATAGACGCACGAAGAGTAGCTGAAATAACTGGGTTCGAGTTATCTATCTGTGTTATGCTATCGTGGTTCTATCTCGACGCTCAACCTGTGGACTACCCATCAACATAACGGGTGCCACTAGCGCACTCACTAAACCGAGAGCTGCGGTAGCGGGAGTTAACATGCACACGCCTACACGTAAGCTTGACTTCACTCCCCGATCAGACTGCAGTTATAGCCCAATTAGGCACAGCCAGGTCCTATTCTGTCACTGTTGAAAGCCTGTCCTAGAGTAGAGAGTGGATACTCCATTTAGGAACATCCCATCACTTACTACGCCGAATGATATGATACGAGCTGAGATGTGGTCCGTTAGGAACGTGTCCTGTCTCGAAAGGGAGGGAAAAAGAGAGGTGCCATGGATAGGGAGCTGCTCTCTAAGAATGGGCTTCAGTAGAAGTCATATCGACACGGACCTAAACTCCCAGCACGCGCTAGAGGCGGCTTGCAAATCAATGCACATCCCGTACAGATGAAGACGAATATGAAATATACTAATATAATATATTTATCACCATAGATAAAATCTATATACTAGATATAACTATATATATTGAGTAATATATATTATGCCGTACTTTACTTACATCGTGTACAGATGAACGAAGTATAAAATATTATACCACCAATGACTACATATTACTTATATATATATATATATCTCTCTCTCTATATATATATCCTATATATATATATCGTAATGATGTATGGTTATGTGGTGGTACGATATATATTATATTATATTCGTCACTCTCCATCTATTACTCTAGATGTAAGTATACACCATACGAAATACTATATTACGCCGATACAGTATAGTATATCGTAAATATGGACTATATCCGTGACAATTGCGCCTAGTCATGGATATTTCTATTGTCGACATCGGTAATGTAGGATGCTTGTCAAAACTACAGTTGCCTGCGCTCTCTCGTGTGTGTGTGTGTGCGTGTGTGTGTGTGTGCGTGCGTGCGCGCGCGTGCGTGCGTGCGTGTGTGTGTGTGTATGTGTGTGTGTGTGTGTGTGTGCGTGTGCGTGTGCGCGTGTGCGTGCGTGCGTGTGTGCGTGTGCGTGCGCGTGCGTGTGCGTGTGCGTGTGTGTGTGTGTACACACGTCTGTTTACAGACAGCACGTTCGCGAAAGGTCGGGTCATGAGGTCTCGCCTGCTGCGAGCATCTCACGTTTCTCCCTAATAGAATATCCTGCTCCAGACAGCCCAACACGAGAGCTACGGCCTACAGTACGGTGCGCCTGAAAGACCCTCATAGTATCAGGCGTGTGACATGACATAGAGCTATATTATGTCAAGCCTCATCATATTCACTCTGTAGATTGAGGGTTACGGTGGCCTAACCACATCCTGAACCCTCGCCCTACGCAAAAACTTCAACCTGAATCTGCCTCAGCTTCAGACAACTACGACGATTCTACAGTACTACCATGCAAGAGCTAGCGTGGGCATCGCAGTCACTGGATGTATACGCACTAGAGCACCCCACTATATACTATTGTTGGGTTACATTATTGTACCTATACACAGTCAATGTCACCTAAGCCATAGGCCCGTGATAACATTGAAGGTGATGTAGCAGAGATACGTGAATATAATGATATAAAGATGAGAATATAATAAAGATATAATAATGAACAGATAATTTTCCATCTATTCACTATTATTAGGTTGAGAATGATAGAACGCTGAAAAATTGATCAACTTTTCAATTAAAAGTGGATATAGTGTAACCCAGCTTTACTCATGTACGGTACTACTGAGAACACAAGATCCTGACGCTGGAAATGTGAGGTTTGTTCTCTGTATTACCAGTAAAAGCCGCGGAGTAATAATATATCTGGCTAGCCGGCACAAGGTGGCTTCCCGCTTGCTCGTTGGGGGTGGGAGGGTATTCCAATAGAATAATAACACACAGCTGCAAACCATTAATCGTTAGCGGCTATAGCCTTATGCAAACATTAGGGAGACTGTCTTGTCGCCTACACTATAGTCACCTACGAAACGTTAGCTCTACCGCGGCACTGTCCAATAATACTGCCAGACGCTATCTGCGGCTGACACATGTCGCTGAGTTTACACAAGTGTCATGTGTGAAGTTATTCTGATGTCGCTTGCAGGGTTATTGTTAGCTCTAGTAATATAGCCCGCGTACAGTTGCCCAGTGGCAACTGTACGCGGGCTATAGTACTAGTCTACTAGAGCTAGGTTATTGTGGCAGAGAGATGTCCCCCGGGGTACTGCCGGAACGTACCCTGGGTACGGTCCGGTATACCGGAACGTACCCTGGTCACTATCTAATATGCCGAACCGTACCTCGTCTACTCCCCTAACGAGTCTAGGGAGTCGCCTACGCCTACGCCTACTCCCTAACCCGAACCCTAATCCTAACCCTAACCACCATATCAAATAGTGACCAGGGTACGTTCCGGTATACCTATATTCTCTTCCCGCGATGTAGCCTAATTAGGCTTTACGACTGTTTCACGTCATAGAAGGTTACCTAGTGAGAAATGAAAAGCTAACTTGTACTTACTCCCAAAACGGCTTCACCCTATTTCAAATTTCGATTGTCTACGTATTTCACGCATGGCCAACATTTCCGTCAACATTTCTCACAAAATTTCTCTCGACATTTCATCTAACATTTCATTAATATTTCATTAATGTTTCATTAACATTTCATTACATTCATTAAACATGTACATTAATTTCTCTCCCGTGATTCATCCGCTTATCGCTTACCTTTGTCAGCTGAGCGATCTTCTTTGACATCTTCACAAGCAGATCTCCTCCTGAATTCTCCCACTCCGCGTCATTTCCTGAAGAATTCCCAAACTTCCCTCCCATCCCGGAGAAGTTGAACGACATACCGGCAGCCATGTCGTGTCAGATATCTTCTGTGCTGCACGTTATGCCATGCGGTCCAGTCGTGTTGTTCTGTACAGGGCGTTGTCAAATATTGGAGTGAGTAACCAATCACACACACACGCACGTACAGCACTTGTTGCTTCTCATTTCTTGCCGCGTACGTTTTGCATCAATGTCGGGTTACCGCAGTGCGTAGGGTTGCCTTTACACGGAATAACTGATAACATATCACATGTTCGTATCCACATGCCATTTCTCTGTCGCGAAATACATGGGAATGAACGGACACACACGCACAAGTTGATCAAATATAGTGAGGGGTTGTTAATGCCACACACGTTCGCGCGCGTGTATGATACACATTAGGAAACGAACCCACGGCACAGTGTTAAACCAGCCTACACGACCACTATCACGACACGAGATCACAACACACAGCATGAACATGTATCATGGTTTCACGATCGGCTGCACTTACACACGTCTGTGTGATATCTGCGTACTCGACTGTAGCACGCGTGAAAAGCATATATATACTAGTTAGAGGCTTCACTCACTTCCTCTCTCTCTCTCTGTACATTTTTACCCGTAGCACGGCTACATGTCCCTATGAGTCAGAGAAGCCTCGGTTCAGTCGGTTGGTATATATTTATAAGCAACTATAGACGAGTCACCGCGGAAGAAACCACTGCACTAGAATGCCAGCAACCAACCATCCACCCCACCAGCAGCGTCTGATGCTGCTGCTGCTGCCGATCTCAGAGTGAGTGGACTGAGTGGATGATCAGATTATCATGCTAGCCAGCTGTACTGAGGGTGCGAAATTAAGCTAGAGTAGAGTGGGAGTGTCACCATGGTTCGCAGGGATGTGTACAGGATTTGTACCAGCTAGGGGGGTCTAACCGTAACCCAAACTTGCGAGCACGCGAAGGGGGGGGGTTCTGTCTCAAAATTTTGAAATTAGACCCCCTTAGATGCGTTTTCTGCGCGGGCAGGGGGGGTCCGGACCCCCTGGACCCCCCTCCCCCCTGTACACGCCCCTGGTTCGTCTCACATCTGTTAGAGAACGCTCTCCTATCACCCAGCCCTGGCTAGTTGATGTAAGAGATCTAGCTGACTCGTGTTGGACAAAGGCTGTTTCAATAATAAAATGATGATAAATAAACACAAATTGTATTTACTATCAATTATGTACGCTCTATCTCCCAATCTATCTCCCAATGCTGTTCAAGTGCTCCTCTGCGACATAACACACAATCATACCGCACGCACGCTACTGTGCACAAACTCACATAAGAAGATATATTTCTCTATCTGGTGTTAGTAGGGAGATCAAGTCCCGTGTCAACGGGCTGTTTACGGAAGCCTAGCTCTATATAATCGCCTTACTACTATACTAGACGTATGTATGAGCAAAACGGTATATGATGCGACGTGCTCGATAATATCAGGAGTAATTAAGATAATATAGGATCTTATATTAGGATCTATATTAGGACCTATATTATCTTACTCCTGATAATATTAATATAATGATATTATAATCAAAAGTATAATAATTAATATAATAAACGGTGAATCTGATATTAATTACTAAAATGTAATAAACATTGCGTTGCGTACGCATGTGTTTACACCATACGTAGCGCCCATAAAAATAATAATATTATTATACTATTACTAGTGAGACAATATTAAGCCTATATTGATGCAATAATAATTAATAATAATATCAGGAGTAAGATAATATAGTCTATAATCTTACTCCTCAGTCTCCTGATAATATATTTCTATATGGTTGCGTCACACGATCAGATAGGGCTAAAACATACCAAGAAGTGAATCCCATGACTATGTTTCTGTTTGTCCCTGTCATATGGGATTATTATTACTCTTTGCTTCTACGTTGTAGTTACATATAGTGATCACATCTTGAAATGCAACGAGGTAATGCTTCAATCTGCAGGTTGAACTTGCCTCCATTTATATGTACATACAAGGATGCTCACTTTGTAAATTGCGAAACTCGAAAACACTAAACTCAAAACGCACCTTCGCCGCTAGGTTCGCTAGTGGGACCTGTCATGTCAGCGCCCAATTCATAAATGCTTGTGATGTAGTTGTGAGGCATTCATGCGTCAAATGCTTTATGTTGTGCTAAACTGTGTAGGCATAAGTCATACGTAAGATTCTACGTACATCATAAATAAAGTCTTACTTAAAATTCTACGTCTGAGTCCCGAAGAGATGGAGAAACACGAGAGTAAGAAGCTTCTTCCAAGAGTGTCCCAAATTAACAATCAGGTAAAGACTTGGCAGTGGCTACGGGTACGGTAGCCGTATCTTAATGTCTCGAGGCTACGGGTACGGGAGTCCATTCGCTTTCATACTTAACGAGACAAAGATGGCGGCGGTTGCGCCAGATTTCGAAATAACGCCTTGGGAAATAAATTCACGATTTGAGAGTTTAGATGAGCTAGAACCCTAACCCTAACCCTAACCATAACCCTAAACCTAACCCTAACCCTAATCCTAACCCTAACCCTAACCCTAACCCTAACCCTAACGCCAAAAAGGGGCTTCAACGACCGACGGCTACCGTACCCGTAGCCACTGCGTAAAGACTGATGAATAATTATTGATTGGGCGTAATCTCAACGCAAACAAATGTATGAATTAGCTTAAGCTGATATTGCCACAATTTATATAATACACATATTCGTGTTCTTTAGGTTATACTAATGAGGAAGACTGTGAAACAGGCAAAGGTCCTGACAATACGGCTTCTAACCAGAACCAGAGCGAAACTGATCCAGAAGAAGGGCAATGCCAAACAACTGGAGAAAAACAAGAGCAAGTGCGAGCGTATTTTGGTCGACATTCAAGCGATGAAAAGGTTGAAAAAAGATGATGTGTCGGTCTATGCACTTCTCAACGAATGCAAACTGGAAGATGTACTTAGACGGGTAAAATATTAATGACATTAATTTGAATTTGGTAACTGTAAATCAAGCAAACCCTGATGTGAATGATAATTAAATATCTGCTGTGGTTGTTGTTGTTCTCTTCTTGTTGTTATTGTCGATATCATCTTTGCCATCGTTTTTTTGCATGTGGTGCTGCTGTTTACTTCTTTCTTATTCACAAAGGTATGCATGGTAAGTTTCAGCTGTTCAAGCAAACCAACTTATTCTAGTGCTTTATACCGGTGTTTGTATTTGGCAGACTGACGTGGAGCCACATGATAGAGCTGTGGCCAGGCTAGCCGACCACCGCCTAATAAAGACTCAAGTCAAAGAATTTAAAAACAATCGTCCATACTGGAAACTCCAGATTCAGGAATATGGTGAAAAATACAGAAAACACAAAGCAACAAAATTAAATCGACAAAATATGGCAGCGAGCATTAAGCATGATACAGAACGCGTAGTAGGAGAGGGAAACAACAGCGAAGTAATCGCTCGAGTAATTTCTATAGCAGAAGATGACTCCGCGGCAAAACAATCTAGCAGGCACGGAGAGGAATCAGTGGAAGAGAACTCGGTTAAAAGTGAAGAGGAAACTGACTCTCACAGTGAAAGTGAAACAGAGACACAAAAACAGGACAGTGGTGATCGGGATGCCGGGACTAGTAGTGATGAAGAGGGAGAAGACGCTCAGAGTAATTCATCAGACAGTGAAGATAGCGAACCTGAGGCCAAGACACCGTCATTGGCTCCACCTACTGTGTGCAGTAAAGTTCTAGATAGGGCACCTGGAAAACATAAACTGAAGCAACGACCACCATCCTCCTCATCACCGGAGACTTCAGAGGAAGAGAAAGAAATTTCTTTGAGTAAAGCCTCGCATTCAGATATGTCTGTGCAGTGTGAGTCGTTACAGCAGAAACGCAAAGCGACGACGGCGATTCCGTCGGAAGCTAAGAAAACATCCAAGGACATGGCGATTAAAAAGCCACACGTTCCGTTTTCCAGCGAAATGGAATTAAAACCATTCGATCTCTTAGAGCTAGACCCAGAGGGAGAATTGCCCCTAGGCATGCCTACTGAGGGTGGCCATCAAGCTTCAATCCCACCAAGCGATGACGATATACCCACATTATTACTTGCTGGTCGAAAGGAATCTGCTGGTAGCAATAATAAGAAGAAGCGTAGGGATGCTTTCTTTGAAGGAGCTGACAGCAGTGAAAATGAATCTGATGTGGACGACGGGGAAGAAGGGTCAGCTTATGACCTGGTCATGACTCAGCAGGATGAAATCGCAACTAACAAAGGAAGACAGTTTATGACATCTGCACAGCGTTACAGAAAACATGGCGATAGAGAAGGCGCAAAAGCAGAAGCACACAAGCAAAGAAGACCCTTTGATAGGTCACGGTAGGTTGATGCGTGAATCGTTGAAATTTCTCTCTCTCTCTCTCTCTCTCTCTCTCTCTCTCTCTCTCTCTCTCTCTCTCTCTCTCTCTCTCTCTCTCTCTCTCCTACTTTGTCTGTCCTCGCCCGGTTTTATTCTCTTCTTCCTTTGGTTTCTCTCTCTCTCTTTCTCTCACTCTCTCTTTCTCTCGTTCTTTTACTTCTCTCTCTCTCTCTCTGTCTCGTTCCTTTGCATTGCACATGCACTATGCACACATGCAGCGCGGCAGCGGAGGTGCGTGTGTGTGTGTGTGTGTGTGTGTGTGTGTGTGTGCGTGTGCGTGTGCGTGTGCGTGTGCGTGTGCGTGTGCGTGT